TGCTCTTCCCCGTCCTTTCCGTGGCCTACCTGTTGGCCCCCAAGAGCAGGCTGGGACTGTTCATTAAGAAGCCATTCATCAAGTTCATCTGCCACACGGGCTCCTACCTGACCTTCCTCTTCATGCTGCTGCTGGCCTCGCAGCACATCGTCAGGACCGACCTGCACATGCAGGGGCCTCCCCCCACCGTCGTCGAGTGGATGATACTCCCCTGGGTTCTAGGTTCGGGGCGCGCGGGGGGGGGGGAGGTCTGCAGGAGAAGAACAAGATTGAAGTCCAGCAGTGCCTTGGAGACCCACGAGATTTCCCAGGTAGGAGCTTCATAGGCAGATTCAGGTGGGGTTGCGGCGTTGTGTTCTGAAGCAGCAGAACAAAGTTTGAGTCTAATGCAGGGGTCATTTCCTGCAGGAGAGCACAGGAGCGGAGCTCTGGCAGTAAAGAGCCCAGGGGGCGGGCACATGCAACAAGCCCCACCCCCTGCTCCCAGCGGCCCTCAGTCAGAGCAAGAAGCAGCCAGGTAAGCTGCAGAGGGGCCCCCCCCAGTCCAAAACAGTCCAGTGGCACCTTTAAGACCAAGTTTTATTCAGGTACAAGCTCTCCCTCCTCTGGGAGGACAGATATGCACGTTCCCCATCCCCCCCAATAGCTAGCAATCCAAAACAGTCCAGTGGAGCCTGAGCGGTGGGTGTTGCCTTCTGACACACTTCCGGTGATGTCAGGGGGTGTGGCATATGCAAATAAGTTATGCTAATGAGTTATGCTAACGAGCGCCTGCATCTCTTTTTCTACGAAATGACCCCTGGTCTAACGGCACCCTTACGACCAACAAAGTTTTATTCTTGTGCATGCCCATGAAAGCTTATGCCTAGAATAAAACTTTGCTGGTCTTAAAGGTGCCGTTAGACTCTTTGGAGACAAAATGAGCTTCCACATAGAATCACAGAATCGCACAGTTGGAAGGGGCCAGACAGGCCATCTAATCCAGCCCCTGCTCAATGCAGGATCAGCCTAGAGCATCCCTGACAAGTATTTGTCCAGCTGGTGCTTAAAGACATGCGGCTCCCTTGTACCGCATCGGACCACTGGTCCCTCAGTCGGATAGGCAGGCTGGCAGTGGCTCTCCAGGGTCCTGAGCGGAGGTCTTTCACAACACCTCCTCTCTGGAGATGCCAGGCATTGACCGCGGAGGTCTTTCACATCACCTCCTCTCTGGAGATGCCGGGCATTGACCATGGGACCTTTTGCATGCAGAGCAGATGTTCTGTCACTGAGCCACAACTACGACTTTGGCTCTGCAAAGTCTATACCCCGAATATCTTGTTGGTCTCTAAGGTGTTTCCGGATTTGGATCGGGGTGTGTGGAGGGGTGTGTGTGATGTTTGCATGCAAATTCATTTTGCTCAGGGGGAAGTTTTTGTGCAAGTCAGGTTGGCACCTAGACCTTGAAATTAACAGGCGTTTTCTCTTCTGTAGAATGTAGACATATTTTTTGTTGGCTGTTTTTATTACCTTTTTGGGGTGTAGCTGGGGGGGACGACAGATACAGGTCTGATTTTTAATTGCAGCCGTGGCCACTGGATCTGGGACAGCCAGACAGTAGGTATCCGGGAATCAGTGATATTGTTGTATCCGTTGTCCATTATTTTATGAGCCGTGATATGCATCCAGAGCTCCCTAGCGGTGTCATAGAGGAGACCAAATGATGGATGCCTCTCAGGGCACCCAAAATGCCTCAGGCCAAACTATCTCTGGGTTTTAGAGTTTCAAGATTCATAGTTTCCTATGTGCCCTAAAATGAGAGAACGTCCTTCTTCATGCCTAGCCTTGTTAGCTGACGGGATTTGCTGTCTAAAGATGTTAAGATGGTAATGGCCTTGTCTTAAGTAGCCTTAAAAGGGAACTGGACACATTTGCCATCTATCAGTGGCTTTGAACTATGACAGCTAAATGGAACCTCAAGGATCAGAGACAGTATACCTCTGAACACCAGGCACGGGGGGGGAGCAGTAAGAGAGGGCTTCCAAATGGTTCCAAAGAAGAGGAGCAGGAGGAAATTGGATTTATACCCTGCCCTTTACTACCCAAAGGAGCCTCAGAGCAGCTTACAATCTCCTTTCCCTTCCCCTCCCCACAGCAGACACCCTGTGAGATGGGTGGGGTTGAGAGAGCTCTTTGAGAACTGCTTGTGAGAGAACAGCTCTGAGAAAACTTGTGACTGACCCAAGGCCACACCAGCAGCTGCATGTGGAGGAGTGGGGGATCAAACCCAGTTCTCCCAGATTGGAGTCCACGCTCCTAACCACTATGACAAACTGGCAGAGTGGGGATCTGAACCAGGGTCTCCCAGCTCCTCGTCGGATTCTTTATTACACCATGATGGAGGGGAGAGCAGCAGAAATTACTCAGTTTGCACCTGGAGTGGTGCCGGTTTCACCCAGGCCACGGTTTCACCCAGGCCAGGATGCTCTGGCCCCTGCCTTCTGAGTCCCGGGCAGATAGGGAGTCTGTGTTTTATAGAGCGGTTAGAATAGCAGACAAGGAAGCAGGAGACCCAGGTTTGAACCCTCTCTTGGCCGTGAAGCTCACAGAGTGGCCTTGGGCCAGGTATACCCTCTCGGCGCAACCCATTCCACAGGGCTGCTGTGAGCATAAGATGAGGGAGGGAAGGACCATTCAGGATTCCCTGAGCCCCTTAAAACAGGGATCCCCAGACATTTCAAGCCTGTGGGCCCCTGAGGCAGTATGCTGGGTGCAGCCGCAGAACGGCTACCGGGGCTGACCTTCAGTCCCACGAGTGAAGATCCCTGTGCTGGGGTGTCAGCGGCTGCCAAAGCAGCCTTTCAAGGAATCTGCACAGTCAATCAGATCTCCAGTGGCCAATCAGAAGCCTTGCTGGGCCATAGCCCCCACCTTGCCCCACCCGCTTTCTCGAAACGTTTGGCAGGCAGCAGGAAAGTTCTAGTAGGTGCCGTGGTGCCCATGGGCACCATGTTGGGGACAGTGTGCCCTCTGAGCAAAAATCCTACTTTGTGAGCTACTGGCATTAAAGTTGTGAGCGAGCGATTTGGCTCCTGCATCAATTCGTTGGCTCTGGAGCCATCCTTCCTGAGCTAAGACAAAAATAGGTGAGCTGGAGGCTAAAAAACTGTGAGCTAGCTCACACTAACTCAACTTAGAGGAAACACTGGTTGGGGACCCCTGCCTTATAGGAAGGGTGAGGGATGGACGAAGTACATAGACCTGTGCAGTTGCTGGGGAAAGTTTAACAGTCTCTGAAATCTCCTCCTCCGATAAGAGGGAAGTGACACAGCCTGGTCTGGAGGACTGTAGGCTATTCCAGGCAATGCTGATGCTTCCTGAAAAGCAGTGCAGCCCCCCCCCCCCCCCCCCCCCCACAGGTCCTTGCAGCATTCTTGCCTCTCCAGATTGATTTTGTACTAAACCTGCACTCCAGGTAGGCTGGAGTTCTGCTGTCCCCAGTGGATTTGAATCAAGGTGTGAATAGCTGCAGGATTTCTCTGCAACTCCACTTCGATCTCCATGCCGCCGAGATCTCTGGGCCTGGCATGTCGCTTTGCACTTGCAAATCCCGCACTTGAGACGACATCCAAAAATTATGCTGGCGCACACTCCATCCTCAAAAACAATCCAGCGTCCAGCTTGTTCTCCAGTTCCCAAACAGACACTTATAATTCTCGGTTTGTTTGTGAAACCTGGCTAAGGTCAAGTGAAGTTATGGAAATGGATGCTGCTTTGCCGTATCTCTCAAAATATTACGCTGATGCTCTAAGCTTAATGATGCATGTGGGTGAAGGTTTTTTCCCCTCTCTCTGTGTGTTTTTTCCCCTCCGTAGCAGTCTGTTCTTACTTGCGCTCCCCACTGACCAAGTGTTAAGTGTTAAAAGTTAAGCACTATTGAGTATAAAGCACCATATGGTGTGAAAATCTCTTATCTCCTTTGCAGTACTATGAAAGGGAATGGTTTTAATTAGAATTAGGGAAGCCAATCAGTGAAACAGATACATTTCCCTTTCCCCATCGGTGCAAGAAGCCTTGACCTCTGATATGAGTCAGCACACAGTAAGATCCTGTCGGCTCACGTCGACGGCACTTCTGTGCTCTGTGGTGCCAGATCGGAATGCTTTGAGGCAGCCCTGTTAGAGGATTATTCAACCTGACATCCCTTGAAGACCATCCATCAACTCTTGATGGATGCTGGCTGTTTGAACTGAGTATCGAAAGAGCTGCCCTTGCCTAAGGAAAGGGCAAAAGAATCTGAGACCCCCCCAAAAAAAACCCAACAACAACTAGAGAGGGGAGTCAGGTTCTACTGCCACCTCCAGCAGAATTATTGTTTAAAAGAACAGGTGTGGCGGCTCACCTTTGTCTCCTTCAGGACCCTGGACAGCAGTCCGCGGCAGTTCAGGCAAGGCGAGGCAAACACCAGACAGCCGTGCAGAATATTAACCTTCTCCTCCCTTTCCTGAGGGAGCAGCGCTGTGGGGTCAGTGGATATTCATGGAGAAAGCTCAGAATCGTGAGCATCGACTTACTTGGAGTGAAAGCCAACTGGTGCATTAGAATACCAAAACAAAGAGAGGAGAAAGGGGGAGTTGGGATAAGTGCTGGTCTACTTTGAGAGCCAGCAAGGACTCAGACGCTGCTCACACAGACGAACAGGAACATAAAAACTTAAAACACGTTAGCTGGCTAGATACGCCCCTCGAAATCAAAGAGTGCCAGCCTAAGCTGCGTTACACCCTGACTTCAATGGCCTTAGAAGGTGTGGTTCAGTGTGGCTCAGTGGAAGAGCCTCGTCTTTGCATGCAGACGGTCCAAGGTTCAGGCCCTGGCACCTCCAGTTAAGAAGTGGTAAGATGTGACGTGAAAGACCTCTGCCTCAGACCCTGGAGAGTCACTGCCAGTCTGAGTAGACAATAATGACCTGGATGATCTGATTCAGTGTATATGTGGCACTGAAACACCCTGATGGTGGAACTGGTGACTGGGAAGCTGGTCTTCCTTCCCATTCCACCCACTTGGGTGGATCGGAACAACGCAGAAGTAAACTGGCTGAACTGAACGAGACGAGGCTGGGCTGGACACGAGACTTGCAGCTCTGCTCTTCTTTTTGTAGGCCACTTGAAATCTGCCGTGCAGCCCCATCGTTGCCTTAATTGGAGAGAGCTGACAAAGAGAATTATTTATCCCTGCCCCAAAAT